CTCCCTATAGATAGATAGATAGATAGATAATTTTTATTAAAGACCCGTCGGGGTCCCATCAAAGCAAGTTAAAATAGATTTGCATGCGAGTTTTAGACGAGGTAGGCTGAATCTTTGCAAAATGCAATTCATAGTTTCTGAATTAGAAGTCCATTGACAAACATGAAGATTGAGGGGTAAAAAAAAACTCCTCGGAAAAAGTTAAAAATGATTGGATTAATTTTACAGGAGAAAAAACCCCTCTTTAAATATAATAACAGAAAAAAAAGCGAGCAGGACTGGCCTGTAGGTGGCGGTATATAACGGAATGTTTTCGGTCATCGTCAGGGTATCAATAAATGTCCGCCTTGATGGGTACGAATGTGGGTCAGACAGGACTGGCTTGCAAATGGCATTGTATACGGGATTCACAATTGAGATCGTCTGGGCCGGATTGGTACGCCGCGTCAAAGAGGCCAGACGAGAGGAACCGAGATGCGATCGGCCACAGCACGCTTCGAGCTCAGCCGAGCAGTGAGGAAGGGAGGTAAGACCGAACTACTAGAAGACAGTGAATACTGAGGGTTCCACCGTGAGCGTCGACAGACCGCATGAGATCGGAATGCGGGAGATGACATCAAAAACCGCGAAAATTGTCGCTATGGGGGGGGGGAGTGATAGCAGTGGATTTAGAAACCAAATTAAAAACAGGGGTTTCTAATGATATAATTAAGAGTTACCACTTAATCTACCACTAAATCCCAGGAGGACCCTTTTCGAAGTCAAGAACCTGAGTGTTCAGGAATATTACAATGGAATTAACGCCCTTCGGAATTATGCTAGGCGCACTTGAAACTGAGCGATTTCACTTGCTCAGTTGGCAGTTTGCCTCTTATTTTAAATTTGAGGCCCTTAGGTCAGATATTTGTTTTTGTCTCTCCAATCTGTTATCTTTGGCTCGCACTTGCTTATTGAACGCCCTATTTAACTTTGACCGTAATCAGTAGGTAAAGACGCCTGCTGGTGCCATATATGTAGCTGGAAATCAATGTACGTATGAATTAGACTAGCAGCATAGATGTCACAGGATATAAGCCCAGATTTCCAAACTCAGCACCACCGCGAATGGACTTTTTCTGTTTGTCAGCCAAAGACAACCGGCTTCTTTTCTTACCTTGCTATTCGTATTCCTTTCCGAAGACGTCAGTACGTGTCACCTCTTTTGTTAGAACTCTTTGACTTCCATTTCGAGATCTTTGGAATTCTTTAAGCAGACTGAAGTTCAGTCTACAACATTTCATTCTTCTCAAGACTCATGTTCCCAAGTTATATTGTGGTCAAATCAGCAAGTCTCTCCAATAGATGCCTCAGTCATTTATGACATCTGACGAGTCTATGGATTCAGCGTCGCATTAGGTTGACAAGCCAACCTTCGAAGGCCAATTTTTATTAGGAGGATGAACCCGAATCCTAATCTCAGCAGATGATCGGTTCTTGAGTAAAAAGATTTTGCTTCAGCGCCTAAGACAATTTACAACAGACGAAAAAGCAGTCCATTCTTATTTCCGTCGTTTTAAAGCAGAAAGCATGCATCTGGACATCTCGAACGACCCACTGCAACGGACGAAATACTATGAAATACCGGCCTGCTTTTGCTGGACTGGAGCTTGTGCGGAACAGACAAAAGGCCTTTCTAAACCTCGGATCTCCACAATCGGCCAACGTTCCCTTCGGGACGCAGTTTGCCGTTTGTGCTTTGATATTTAAGAACAAACCAGTATGGTTCCTCTGCCAGCTCCTACCTTTTTTCTTTTGTTCTGACTTCAACAGTTAATTATCGAAGACAAGTGGACTATGCTGCTGTTCCAGTAGTCGTCTTAACTGTTTGTTCTTCTAAAATGATTCTCAGGGCGTTTTTACTTGCATTGTACCCAGGCTTTACCGTCCATATGATGCTTTTTGTTTCTGATGCTAACCGCACATTTATAAAATGTTGGGCATCTGTTGGTCATGACTATAGTCATGGAAAGGTATATCTTTCCAGTCAGTTCCGAGGCCTAATGATTCATTGCCAATGTGGCCTTTATACCTTATTAGTTCATATTGGCTTTTGGCTTCATGCCTCTTAGTCGTATGGATGTCTACCGTGTAACTACGCTTAAAGGAATGGCAGTCTCTTCCATCAACCATTTTTAACTTAAAGTCTCAATCAGATCTGCATGCAATCGTTTGCTTAATGTTAAGAAGGCCAAGTCATCGATAACGTTCAATTTCTGACAAAATTCATGAAGTGAGAGTTAGTCTTGTTGATAGCTACTACATTCTTCCCAAAGCCTCTTTTGCATGGATAAGGCTTCGGTCCTCTCCGCTGAGCGACGGCTAAACGACTTTCGAATAATGGCTACATACAAACTATGTTGGTTTTGTCCAGGGGATTTCAAATGTAACATACCTTGAAATGCATGCCACGTTTACGGAAAATGGCGATCCCAAATCTACCTCTTGCGCCCCTAAAACTGCGCACGTTTATTTCCAATCCTACTTCATATTTGCTCACGTTTGTCTCGAATTTCTGTATACTGGCTGTGAGATTCTACTGGCTAGTCCACTAGTAAATTCCAGCAGTCTTCTTGGGTAGAAGTCAGCTCCCGTCCGACCTAAAATTTCAGTTTTCATCAGAAGGGAACCTCTGCTTGAGATGACCTATAACATCAATGATGCGCATGAAATAGCACAACCTTGAGGAACGCTTGTGAGCCGAAAAACTGGAAACATATAATTGTGAGAATTAAGGAAAAAATTTATATAGACCTGCAAAAGTGTTATCCAACCAATTGAATTGTGAGCAAGATCAAAGCCGGTACTTATTCCTGCGAACGGCCAATTATTCCCTATATTGTAGACCTTGCTAAGGTGAATAAAGCTGACTTAGATTGATGTATGCAGGAAGTCTCAATCATTAGCCAATTGCTTTGTTAGTCAGGAACCAGTTCTGAAAGGTAGCTGAATGGGCCAAAACCGCAACTGAGTGCTAGTGTGCTCCGTGGGAACTGTTAAAGAGCTTTAGTTGGCAAGAGAAAGCGTAGAGACTATCCGAACATCTGAAGACTTCTGGATACGTTTTTGCATTTCTGTTGGGATCCGTATTGATGCGGAAGCCCAAGATAGTCGCCAATGTTCTGTGGTAAAAGCTACATTGAGGAGTTTCTGTTTAGAAGAGTACAGACAAATAACAACGGAGTACACGCATTAGACTCATTAAAAACGAACGAAATCTCCAAAGAGACTGATAAATAATGCAGAAAAGTCAGCCGAGTCTTCTAGGTTCCTGAGGTAGTGCACTAGCTTAGTCACTTGGTTTTTTCTTTTTTCAAAACTTCGGTATCCAGCACCAGGTACGGAGATCATGCAGACGAACAGTTCTCTAAATATGATTCTACATCTTCCGTATGCAATTTGCGGAAACCTTGTTCAGGGATTTTGGAAACGCCTGCCAACAAGGTTTCCCAACATGCTCTGACAGTGACCTATAAACATTGTTCCGCTCATGCCAGATTAGCAGAAATCAAGATTTCCTGGACGTCAGTGGATTTAAGTCGCGGGAAGAATTTATCCTTTGTGCTATATACGTGCAAAATCACTGGTTTAACTCACCGTTGGTCACAAGAAATTTGAGTTACTTCAATTTTACCCCGATACCTCATTGGTCAATTATTGTTATTACCAATCGAATCTTCCTTAATAGAAACATGACCCCCTAGTTTGACCTAAATATTTTAATATATTGTACGAATACGGATTTATCATAAACTACGTCTGACAGGTAGTTTGCATTAATAAGAAAAAAAACCCACCTGGAAGTAACGCTGCTATTGTCTGGCACTACAGAGTGCGTGTTCTTTTGAAGACGTACGTGGTGTCTGTGGTCGGGGGGTTTTCAAGGCGCGATCTTTCTTTGAAACAGCCCTGTTTACAGAGTTAGGAAATCTATGTTGGTCTAAAGAATATGGTCTATGCTAGCACGCTATCATGCTGAAGTGGACTTAATGGTTACTAGCACCTAGCTACTTCAAACTTGTATCAAATAATGAGACTAACTAGAATCTGTCTACAAATATCAGGCTTGTAGGCATTCCATGTGCAACTTGAGTACACACACGGGACTGTCAGCCTGAACGATGTGAATGAGTTGTTACACAGGTTTGAAGGCAATCACGCCGTTGTAAGTTCAATTACTTTCGGTTTGTTGTTATGGCCCCACTTTCCACACAATGTTTGCAAAGTTTCCTTAGACGAGCCTTTTTGGGGTCTGGGTCTGCCGTACCAGCGCGCATATTTTGTTCTCCAGTCTCTTGCACCCATAAAGCTTCCCCCACCGGTTGAAATTCAGCAGAGGTTCTAGTGCATATATATTCGGCGTCTTGGTTAGTTGCAGGATATTCGCCATCGGCTATGTCCGCTTTAAAGTAGAGTGCTTTAGCCATAATCCGCGCATTTGATCTGGAAGTTCCCCTTTTATGCCTAAAAACAACCGCCCCGTTTTCCAGGACCTTTTTCTGGCATTCACGACCTCACCTTTCCCTCCTGTAACTTAGCTGCCATATTACCGCCTGAGTAGGACCTGGGAATATGAACCTGCTGTGATGCAAGTGACCTTGTGTTGAATTTCACAGAGATCATGATTAGGGTTAAAGCCTGGGTTAGGGCTAGGACACAGGATTTATATACTTCGCGTCAGGACTTTTTACATTCACAGCTTCACTTTACACTTCCGTAACAGAGCGCGCACACTGCCACCTTTTTGCCTAATCGAGCCAGTTTGGTTTTGCAAACCACAGATATTAACGCTTTCTCTCGTGAATACGGAATATCTTTGCGTTAGCTCTCAGTTGCTGAGGCAGAAATTTGCATACCACATCTCCACGAAATCAAAGCCATATTTCTTTCTTTTTGAATTGTACGATGCCATTACCTCCTTATTTTACCTATTTTTTTTAGGAAACTTCCTGAAAACCTGAACCATGAAGCATTTCCCAACAAAAATTCTCATCCGACACATCCCACCAAAGATGACGGAAGAAAAATTTATCGAAATGATTCAGCCCCTTCCCGACTATGACTACTTCCGTTTCTGTCCGCCAGATCCCACACTGGGCTTACAGTCATACTGCCGTGCATACCTAAACTTTTTGGATCCACAATCGGTGTTTATCTTTCGCGAGCGTTTCAGCGACTATGTTTTTGTGGACGAAGAGGTTGGTCTTTCAACTATTTTACGTCTTGACATGCAGTACTTTACACTAAAAAAATATATATAACCTGTACTCGAATATGAATAAACAAAGCCAACCGTCGCCTGTATTATCAGCAGCCTCAAGGGTCCTTAAAGGGTCACTGGTTTCGAACCTATTACTGTCTTTAGGGACAAAATACACTACTAGCCTCCGTCCAGGCTGTTCGGCCGACGCACACGGCGATGTCCACTATGTGCCGCACGGCGCAGGACGGTGGCTTTCGTGTAAATTAGTTTACAATGAGGCAGACTCGTGCGCACTTACCAGACTCCAATGGTCATCCAGAGACGGGCTCGGACGCAGTGACTGACAAAGTTAAACGATCTGCCTACGCGTCCCCGCAGAGTATACTATGTTTCCACGAGGGTAGCTCGCATCTCACATACTTGAGAGTGCCACAGGGGCCGTATTAAGAAGGAGCCGCTGAACCTGACTCTGCCTTGAGAGGACCGAGTTATCCCATCGGTTGGCATCCTTCCAGGGCACAACTTTTGGCTTGTCGTGATAAATTTACTATAACCAAGAATGCGCTGATATGCCGTCGGGATGGATCCCCTAGTGCCGACCTCACTTCTCCCCCCCCCCACTCGTGCATCAGTTGGCTTCCCGAGCCGATCAGTCATCTTGTGCTGGGATTAGGTGGAGTGGTTGGCGCGGCCTGAAGCGTGCGCCTAGGCGTGCCACAACATCTCCCTCATCCCATGCACGGCAGTAATTATGGGCTCATGTGGACCTTGCGCTGCCTAACGCGTGTCGTAAGGCAGTCTGGCCTCCGTTTTGTTCCAATGAATCGGTAGCGTGACTTGTTTCTGGGCCAGGGGCAAGACGCTAGCGTGGAAGACCATCCTGCAAACCAAGCCTTAGTGCAGTGCCCACTCAGGGCGCTGTCTCGTTATCCTGGCCCGGACAGAATCTTCATGCATACGTTTGTTTTTCGATGTAAATTTTAAAATCAACATCCCATCCAGGGTGATCAAAATCGTCCTTTGCTTCGCGGCAGGGTGAACTCTTCTCAAGACATTTTGTTCCTAACGTGTTAAATTCTTTCCACAGGTAAAATTTGCCCTCGAAAATATATTATGACGTAAAGGGCAGTCAGGGCTCGACAAAAAAATCTACCACGAACAGTGGACGTTCTCCTTTTTAAGTAGGTCCCTTTCCTCTGTAGTTCCGGTCTGCAACACTAGTACGTGCGAAAGTATGAACATGTTGCCATGCATTGGACTTCCGTTACCCCGTTTGGAAAGATTGTGGCGGTCAAGGATGTGAGATCAACTTAAACCACGCACAATAAGTTCGTTTCGTCTACTGTCAGAAGTCAAGGAGCTGTGAGGACTAGTTTATTCTGTACACAGGACGTAGTTGCAGTCTCCATCGTTGCAACATATTTGGTAGACAACTGCTGAGCTTTCAACTGGTGGCAGTGTGACATTGGATTGCATAAAACGGCATGGAATTGTTGCCTAGGGTCAATGGGCGATGCCTGCTCTGGCGAGTTTTAACAGTCCTCTGTAGTAGACAAGCCCTGCAGATAGCCAACGAACCTATGGCGGCTTAAAATTCTCAGAAACAGTAAACGATATCACAGAAAAATTAAGTACAAACAATTACGAACATCGCTATCTTTCAGGCGACTTCACTGCATTGAATAGTACGTGACCAGATCACATCGTTTTATGCACACCGAGGGCCAAAGTAGTGTGGCGGTCAAGGATGTGAGCTCAACTAAAACAACACACGATAAGTTAGTTTCGTATACTGTCAGAAGTCAAGGAGCTGTGAGGACTAGCTCATTCTGTACACAGGGCAGGTTGCCGTAAGTTGGCGGTTTGCTTGCAACAGAGAAAAGTGTCCGTTCACGGAGAGCGTCAGTCACGGTGTGTTTTGTTAACGCGAGTGTGTGTGTGTGTGTGTGTAAGTTAACAGGATCGCATCGCATGGGTCTATTCGGCCACATGCGCATCCACGAGAGCGGCATTGACCGCAATTCCGATACAGCCACGACATCCAACACGCCCAGTCCCATCCTCGCCCCACCGTCACACGCGCCGACCACCACCACCGCCACCACCAACACCACTGCTTCCTCTACAGCTGACACCGACACCGCCGACCTCTCATGCCCACATTGTCCACGCACCTTCACCTCACGCATCGGCCTGGTCGGTCACTTGCGAATCCATCGCACAGAGACTGGCGAACCAGTGCCTGGAGCACCAACCTACACCCACCGCACTCGCCTCCACTGCCCACACTGCCCTCGCACCTTCACGCATCGCATGGGTCTATTCGGCCACATGCGCATCCACAACGACCTGCGGCAGACAACCGCCGGTCACACCACACATTCCCTCACCCCCTACCTCCTAACATCATCACCCCACTAGACGTCAACCCTCACACACCTCATGCACTCAACTGCCGCCTCCCACGCAAGTGGGAAGTGTGCATCTCGACTCGGTCCCCATGCGGCCTCGGCTGCATGAGTGACTTGAGTCCGAGACTATCCCGACACGTCAAGTGTCGTGGATAGGAAGGTTGCTGATTGACGCCCGTTCTCGGTTCACGCAGTTCGTCACGTTGTGTGTGTGTGTGTTGTGTAGTGGCGGACTGGTGGGCTGGGGACGGGCTGAAGCAGCACCTTCCACGGCCCTCTCACGCATGTGAGAGACACGCCGTTCAACCCCCGTTGTGTGAAATCCTGGTGTTTGTGTTTGTATGGGGGCCAGGTCGTGCTGTGGCGCGCGCAGGCATGGTCAGTCGACCATGTCAGCCACCGCTCCCATTCCCCACTCCAGTCTACTGACCGGCTCGGACAGTGGCTGGGGTGTGGGAATGGGAAGGGAGAGTGAGGTCGACGACTCAGCGCATTTTCCTCACTATAAACAATCTGACGCGCTTGAAGCTATCACGGTGCGCTAAAAGCCGTGGCTTGGAAGGTTGCCAACTGACGGGGTACCTTGGACCTCCTCTCTCACGGGAGGCGGTCTGAGAGTAAGGCTGCAATGGCTCCTTTTTAATGTGGCCTTTATGGCATTTCCACCACAGTGTGGGATCCGAGCCAGGCGTTGGCGGCACGCCCAGGTGCGGCTTCGGCCGTGCCAGCCTCCAAATCTATGTTGTGTTGGTTCAAATCCTGGTTATTGTTGTGTGGACCAGGGGGTGTGGCGGAACGCCAAGGTGAGGATCCGTCCGAGCCATCCACCTGCGGCCTCCCTCGTCTCCGATCTTCTTAACTCTGTCTTGACACCGGGCCCAGGCGGGGGAGGAGGAGAGAGTGTAGGTAGGTGCTACGCAAGTCTACTGGCACTATAAACCCCTGCGTAAGTCACCGTCCCTGCTCCCACCGCTGCTGCAGCTGTGGGGCACACGGTGGACATCGTCGAAATCGACGGTCGAACTGTCAACAGGAGGGGGTGACTGTCTGCGTGGTGGTCGTGTGATTGGACTAGTTAGGGGACGTATGGAGGGCGCATACTCACAAGGCTTTGCGGGAATCAATCCAAAGCGTTCGACGCGCGTTAGGCGATACTAGTTTTTGAGTGCAGCCGGGGTTCACTGCAGCTGGACCGGAGGTGTCCCAGTCCTAGCCGGCGGGGGTGGTCGTGCGTCAGCGGCCTGTCAGCGCTTATCGCGGTCATCGACCGACAAAACGGAGCCGGAGAAAAGGGGGGCTGGAGCGGCTGCTACAAGATTGACTTCACATAAAGCCTGAACTCTTCCATGCCATCGACTTATCTGCGACAAGCTGGCACCTTCGTGGCATCCCCTTCCCGACTCGTCACCTTGCGACCGAGTTTGAAAGTTTTAATCTGAATCCGAAGTTAAATGCCGCAACTAAGTAAGTTGCCTGTTCTTCATTGCCTAGGTGATGTGAAGGAGTTCGCAGTCGGGTGTTGCAACACGTCGCAGTGTCGTCCTTTTTCTTGGAAAACCGGCCTAAGCTCTGTACTCGTTTCTTTCTGGTCTGCAATGCCTGACAACGTGGCGTATTTCAGGAGCAACTGTTATTTGACAGCCACATTGAATGCCGACGTATACAAGATAGTAATTTGACTCTGGCTCTGCTTGGCGCCAAGTCCACATCCTTGTTTCCAAGAAACTGTGCACGCTACCGCGGCCGTACCCCGGGCAGTACATTCGGCTGGGGACCAAAACAGGCGAAGGTAGTCCGTATGTCCTTCTAACGCCAACGGCTTTGCTTATGAAGCCCCGATATCTAGTAAGAAAGGAGCCAGCTTACTTATCCACCTGTAACGGCGTTTATAATAACCGAATTAGCCGACTCCACGTTGAACATTCACCACACGAACGATCGTTCTCCGCTGCGGTCGGCCGACTTGGTACTTAGTACAACTGTGATCATACCTGATCTAGCCGGCCTCGATGTTGACCCGAACTGTACTTCTCCACGCGTGACGATCCGCGGCAGCAGACCTGGACAGTGTAACCTAATCTCTTTGCCACCACCAGAGGCCGAATACCGAAGGTCCAAGAACCACCTCCATGTCTTAACGGACTCTGTTGAGCCAGGTTTTGAATTGACACCCGTGTTGATGCCTCCAATGGGGTAACGGTGCGGGATCGGGGGCTGTAACACTAAGCTCCTGGAGTGGATGACGAAGAACATGCCCAAAGCATCTCAATCGTCTTTCATGGATGGCCTAGATTATCCTTGCGATATTGTCGCAGCAAGTGCGGACTGTCTCATTTGAGACGAAGTCGGTGTACTTCACCCGAAGGATGGTCCTCAAGCAGTGGTGGTCAAATAACTCCGATTTTTGCTCGTCCTCCAAGCGCACAGCCCAGCATTTACAACCATAGAAATGGATGGACCGGACGGATGCACGGTACACGCGAATCTTAGTGGCGATGGAGATGTCGCATCAGATCCATACGTATTTTCTGAGGCTTAAGAAAACCGGGTGGGCAGCATTAATTCTGTCAACGGCAGATTCCTGATCAAATTTTGACCAGTTTATACGCCACCCCTAAGACCACAATGCCAGAGATACGCTCGAATTCAATGGTCATTGCGTCCCCCACGTCACCAGCTGATCCCCTTGACACCGTCTTTAAATGGAGCTGAGTGTACATTTAGATGACGCCTTGAGCAATATTCCCATCAAGGCGGTGAAGTGTATGACCGGAACGACTCATTTGGCAGGTAGAGACCATGCAGTCGACCGAATTTGTTTTTGAACATCTGCACGGTCGCTCGACAAAGACACGATCAGGGTAACAAACTCAGGGACCAAGTGAAAGCGTCATCCATCGAATACATACGGGCCAATAACCTGAGTATGTACCCGAAGATTTGTATTCCAATTGGTCTCACGCCAATTTTCCGTGGTTTTAAAGAAGTCTGAAGAAAACCCGTCATTTGGTGAGCGGGTGGTCGATTTCACCCGTAACTTGCTCGTTTGATAGGAAGCTCGACCTAAGGCCGCAGTAACTGCGCCAGTCCAAGACCTCAACCGTCTGCCTTTACCGGGCTGGTAGGCGGAATGATGTTAACTTATCCGGTGAAAGAGCAATTAATGATGATCATATCCCCATTAAAAAACCCTGCCTGTGAGTGACGCATCAAGCGGAGGCTATTGAGAACAGTATGGAAGACTTACACTGCAGATTAGCAGTGCTCTGTCATGCTAACTCATTTTCTTGACCAAATTCTATCACACTAACTCATGCCCTGTTTCTCGTTTTCCGTTTCGTCAATTGTAAGATAAATAAAGTCCCATTCTAGGGTACCCATTCGTCCTATTTTTTCATGCTATCTCACTCGCCCGATTGTGGCCATCCTGATTACAACACGCTTCATTCTTTGCTTCACAAGTTTTGATCGCAAAGTCAGCCGGTCATCCACCATTGTGGTCTCACTAGAGTTTTTGTTATTCTTCATTTTGGTTGTGGTCTCGAGGGTCTCCCGGTAGAATCTGCACAGCAATACTCGGGCGTCTTTAACCTGGACAGCAACTAAGTGGGTCACGCCGGTCGGGTTCAGAGTTTGTTTTGAGTATCCTTTTTTACCTGGAGTGCGGTGTCCGACGTCGGTTCTGTCGACGCACCATGGGCCGCCTCTAACCGGTGAGGCAGACTGAGTCCTTAAAGTCCGGTCCAGCGTCCTCGTGTACAACCATCAGTGGAAGCATGTTCGAGGTCCTGTGCCATTTTAATCTGGCGTTCGGTGCTCTTGCCACCCAGGGACCTCAAGTTCATTCGGATTGTCTTTTTGACTTACTGATGCTATTACCACTTCTCTGACCTTTTTCCTCTCACCCCCCTCCCCCCCCTCAAATCCAGGGTAATGAGGCCAGTGCCATCGTGGAGTACGCGGTATTCCAGGGCACTCCAAGTGTTCCCAGTGGAGACTCGACCCGTGCTGCCAAGCGAGTGGACAAGCGACAGGGCACAATCGATGAAGATCCGGAGTACCGGAGCTTCCTCACAAGCCTGGCCGGCACAACAACGGCGACAACAGCAACAACTACTGCGTCGACGGCAACGATGAAGTCCACTACCACTACAACTACCACCACCGCCGTCAGTAGTGCCGTTACTACATCTGCTCCCATTGCATCTACGACCAACCCTGTCAAATCGGAGAGCACAGAGAGGAAGCAGACTCCCTGGGAGGCCATGTTGGAGACAATAAAACAACGCGAGGAAGCATCTGAAGCGGTAAGCGCCACCATTTTGATCGTTTTACGTCCTACTGCTTTGATGTGTGCTATCAGGAACGTTTGGAGCATGCGTCCAACACCTTCATCTTCCTGCCCAATTCATTTATCCCTTCGCCTCCAGATCTTTAAACCTCCACAAACCACCACCACCACCACCACCACCACCACCACCACCACCACCACCACCACCACCACCACCACCACCACCACAATTACCATTGCTCCTATCACCACTAATGCTACAATCAGCATATTTTATCGTCGTCTTTTTACCCTTGTATTCGATAGGACTTTGATCTTGTCTGTACTAGCCAGCTCGAAGACTATCACGAATGGTCTCTGCCCACGCTCGACGATCACCGGCAGCGGATCTGGAGTGGTCAACCGACTCATAGGTCTGCCTGCTTGGGCTCATCCAGGTAGACAGCGACTTATGACCAACGACTGTTACACTTGACTCACGGGCAGACGACGAAGAGCGTGGCCAAACCGCCTTGTATGCTTTAAGATGTCGTCCGTAGTCTATCTGTTTGACAATGAGTTGAGGCAGAGGCATTTGGAATTGTCGTTTTCTGGCCGACAACCATTACTCACCAGGGAAGCCTTCTTATGCTCGGGGGTACGACTTGAGATAACTTTGGTTCTTCTGCGCAAATGGATAAATCTATTGACCTGACTAACTCCTTCAGCCTCGACACCACATTATGTACGTCAGTATATCTTGACACTATCAGGAAGATAACGTTATTGTAGCCGAGGATGGCTTGCCGACTTCTTTTTGCAAATTTCACATACTCAAATCTGAACAGACAGCAAAGTAAATAAATGGGATGGGCAACAAGATGCGACCCTGTTGTACACCAGACTGATTTTTAAACATTTAGGAGAGATTGTTGCAGACGAGACCTCGGGAGGCGACGGAGCGATACCAGGAGTTAATCACAACGACTATTGTAGTCAGTGTATTATTTGGCTCCTTAATCCGCCACAGGGATCGTCGATGGACGGTATAAAAAGTCGCGACTAAGTCAACAGGGCAGACGATTGTCAGTTGCTGATATCCATGCCAGCGCTCTACCCTGACAAACGACTAACCTGACAAATCAGCTGACAGAGGCTTGAAGTGTCACCCGACGTTCTTGGTATGCTCTGTGGAAGTGTCCAATTCAGCAGGATAATTTCTGTCGTCATTACTAACTGGTCCTTCACAGCTCTCCTGAAATGACAGTATGAATGCGCACTCGAGCTGTCTGAGCAGACAGCTATAAGGTTCTTAAGTGAATCCAGTTACTGCGGTGCTGCCGAGTGAATTCAATAATTCCATCCATTGTCGCGCCAACTGAGAATTTTAACTGTTACCATCTGCCGCCTCATTCTCTTTTGACTCTCGCTGCATAAGAACACTGGGTGTCTCTGTTCAGGTCCTCGACTATATTGGGTTGTCGTAAGTTCGTTATGTCAGTGCGTTTCGTTGCGAGGCACTTTGGGCATACGGAATAAGTGGACTTGCGGGCATGCACTGATGAGAACATGATCTGAGACGTAAGCGTGGTCAGGTTCGGCACCACGCGTCGATCTGCTGTTTCAGCCGCGATTTGGTTGGCTCTATAACGATTTTCTGAATACATGGGGTGACAGGTGTTGGTGGCTGGATGACCACTAAAGCGGTTGTTTGAAGAGTCGCCTGGCCCACCCCAACCACTTCAGACCCTGGCAGCAACTAACTAATCACACCAGAATACTTTTGCAGATGGATCTTGCAGTCGTAAGATGGTTTATTTGTCGCACTGGCCGACAGTTGGTGTTGCTGCGTATAGAGACACGACAGAGACGTCGACAAAGAGCTTCAGTCGTATGTGAGACAGCCGGTCATTAACTAATTACCACGCAAGCTATGCGTGACTTGGTTTTTGCGAAAAGACGATCCTGCACATCGCGTCCGCCAGAAGGGTCTCTTGGGCTGCTGCAATATAGCATGAGGTGAAATTCAGTCCCCAAGGTCTTGATTTCCCGCAAACAGAAGTCTGGCATGTGGACAGCAGAAAACGCCAGGCATCCACTTTGCATTGACTAAGATCACCTGCCTTCTGACTCAGTGTTCCGGAGTTCAGGAACGTCCGCACATACCAACATCCAGTATCAAGTGTCCGTTTCTGATTGGCGGGTATAGGTAGCGTGATGCTTGCCCGCTGCAGGGAACCAGGGTTGCGGAACCCTTCGGTTCCCCGCGGATATCATGATACTTGAACCAGACATTTTAGCGAGGTTTCTCGGTAATTTTGACTACAGGCAGGTTCCCGAGAGCGCCTGGGATTGCTCGGTGTTGTCCCAAGGCATTGGCGGTAAGGCAGCCTATGTGTGTCACCTCACGGTTGCTGTGTCATCGGGCTTCTGGGCATTGTATAAAACAGTCAGTTTGCCAGACCTGCATCCTCAGCGTCCTGGCAGCCTCGTCACTGTTGATCCGCGACCGTATATTCGTCGGGCTGGAGAGCCTACTGAAGGCTGCTCCGCTTTCCGCTACTCATGGACGCGCCGCAAAGCCAGCAGCTGGGTTCACGGGCGAATTCGTCTTCGCAGCAATCCACCCCACTGACTACAGTTTGATGGAAGTTCAGCTCAGTTTAGTGGGAGAGCGAGGGTTAAGTGGGAACCCCTGAATAACTGAGGAACATGTGAAAACTGGCGGAAAACAGAGGAAATTGTAAATGTTTGTGTAAAGTAAGCACAAATTTAAGCACAAGGCCTAAGGAAGGCGCTCAGTCATTCAATATGTAGTTTTATCTCGGAACCTGTATCGATAAACGTTATTTCTGGAGGCTTCCGCCGGTGGTGTGGTCACAACCTCTGGAAGTAGGATATTTCGTACACCAGTACCCATATCGAGAGAGGAAATTTCATCCAGCCTCTCCCAAGAAAGGGGACTTTTGACAGACAACCTCGAGAGTCTGGTTTAGTTTGTCAATTGAACGAATTCGTCAAGTGTTGGGAACGAATACAATAGACACACGATGCGAAAGGCGTGTTTCACGTACATGTAGTGAAATTCAATTTCTGCTGGGCTATAGAGATGCCTCAGAGACTGTTAAAGAAGTGGTTTTCTTTCCATCTGGGTATGTCCCCACTGACTCCCACGGTTGCAGCTTTGTGCGAGAGACACTGATAAAGCATTCTATTGAAGGCCCTTCTGGAGTCAATAAAGGCGACCCGGATCAGTTATCCATATCACAATGCTCAAATGAAACTCTGTACAAGCATACAATGTGTCTGTCTAGAAATCGTGTTCGACGTTGGTCAACAGGTTGTGGAGCTCGACTAAGATCATAAGCTTATTCTTTATGATCGCCCGAATGACTTTTCACGAGACATATCTCGAACTCATGGATGCGCTGTTTGTACTCGATGCACATCTCTAGTCCTTATGAAGAAGGACGTAATGCGCGCTATCCTCGAAAGTAGCGAAGAATTCAAACATCAAATCAGCCTTTTAATGGTGTTCAAGAGGCCTTTGGAGTTTTGCACAAAATGATCCTTGAGGAGTTTAGGTGGATACTCGGACTTACGAGGAGATTGTGTCTCTCTGAATCACTCTGCAGTCCTTTGGTCGGAGAATAAACTGGTTCCCACGAATGAAATCCATATGCTCTCAGAGGTGGATTTGAATGAATATTTGTGAAAGCGAATTCACGTATCCTCTAACCAATACTAGCGCAGCTTTTAATGCTTTCCCTTTCACATACTGCAAGAAACAGAGGGTTTGTGGAATTTTGCTAAAATGACCAACTTCGCCGAATTTGTTAAGTGTGGCTGCGTGACATAATAGCAGATGTTTACCATCTCGAAAGGAGTTGCGTCCCAAAAGCAGGATGAAGATGTTGGGCATTGTGTAAGAGGTGCCGAAAAGTAATATTGTCTTTTTTGTTTTTATTTAATTGTTGTTTAAGAAGTGTTTATGCCTGCCCCATTTGAAATACATTTCTTTTTAAGTCATATAGGTCTTGTTCGTTAGATTTTTATGTGAATTTCGTTTTTCAACCGTTGCCTAGCGAAATGGGATATGTAAATCCGTCATTGTATCCTGTATGGGCTTCGTGTGGAAAAAAACGCAACAACAGTCGCTAAAACAATGTGTCATGTTCACCGGAATGCTTTAGTTGTCCGCAAATGCCAGCGTTGCTTCGCGAAATTCCGATCGAGCGATTTCAGCCTCTCCTATGTCCATTGTTTGGGAAGGCCAGTGGAGCTGGATAATGACCTTTTTCACACAACCGCTGCAGCAGATCTTAATCAGGCCATGGACGAATTATCCGAAAAAAATAAATTCTTCTTGGTCTACTGTTCAGGAGCACCTCAAGCAGGTAGAGGATGTCAGTAGGCAAGGAGTTTTAGTCGTACGCCATCTTTCGATAAAATACAACGCCCAGCGTGCCACAGTCTGTGACATTTTTCTAGACAGTTTCCCACCGGATTGTCATAAGAGATGAGAAGTGGATGCTTTATGTTAAAAGCCATCGCAGGCACCACTGACTTTCCACAGGTCAGACACCAATTCGTATGCCGAAATCAGGCTCATGCCCCAAGAAAGTCTTGCAGTGTGTTTGGTGAAGAATGGTGGGCATACTTCACTTTGACCTACTGGAACAAGGTCAGACCGTGGCAGCAGACCTTTCTTGTCAACAATTAAAACTGTTAGACATCCAGAGATAATCAGTAGGAAAGGTGTCATTCTGCCGCACGACAACGCAAGACTGTATTCAAACCGACAGACCTAGAACATGACCCGAAATGTACAGTGAAAACTTTTGTCCCATTCATCCTATTCACCTGATTGTGCACCGGCTGACTGTCGTTTGTTCCGATCTCTGTAGCACTTCCTGGACAGGAAAACTATTCGAAGCATCGGTGATGTCAAAACTGGATTCTTTAAACTCTACATCAAAATAAACTTCCTTTCGTAAAAGGGGGCATTGAAAACTTAATTTCAAGATGGGCGCCCGTGGTTGTAACGATGGTGGTTATATAACTAATTAAAAAATGACACGTTTTCCGGTAAACACTTCTCGTCATTTATTAAATAAACGACATTCCTTTCCTGTGCTCCCCCCCCTTTCCTAATACTTTCAAAAATGAAACCGTGTTCCTATGCCCCTACTCCTGGTTAGTTTCTAATATCGAAACAAAAGGGTCTACTTGTCCATTTCAGTAGCCTGGTTTTATTTTTATATTTCAGCAAACAGTCACTCCCTTGATTGCCTACTTAAATCAACGGCTGGAGCGGCGTAAACGCCACGCCGCTGAGGACGCGAAGTCTGGTGGAGGTCAAAAAGGCGGTGCTGCCAAGTCCGCTGTTGGCTTCCGTTCTTCTGCTGCGGGGAAATCCAATCGTGTTCAGGTGGCTTCACGTCGTTTGGCGGAATTAGGGCGGAGACGTACTAACTCGCGCTCTTCGCCCCAGGTGGTGGTGGTGACCTCTACGGCCGGTTCCGGCAACAGAGACGTCTCCGTCAAGGGCGACTCTCAGCGCAAGCTATCGGAGACCTCCAGCATAGGTGAGACCTGCCTTTCCTGTCTGCTCTATTGTCGCTAAGGTTTCACTCCGACCGTGTGTTAGAGTGGTCAGTCGTGCTTGGACACCACCACAAACTTCTCACATGTCTTAAAAAGTTATAGGCTTGTGATTTTACTCAACGCTCACATGGTATAGTCGGAAATTTTAAAATTTGGTACACTTATCATTTCATTGCGGTAAATGAGCCATTCTCTCACGGCCATGAGACAGAGTTTAATTGCAAGTCCTCTCCGCCTCCCTCGAAAGCACCCAGCGGGTCACGTCGTACTGAATTTCTGCGGGACATTAACTTCCTTCAGAATGTGCAACTTGTTGGAGGTCTTGGCGTGCATATTTCCGTTCTTATCAGGCCGTTAGATTCGGTAGTTAATCCGGCCTTTGGGGAGGTGGGAGGGTTAGTTATAAGACCCCTATTTCCCCAATCGTCTGTTGCTTGATTTGCTGTCGTTTATGGAGTAGAAATCCGACCTACTCTATCGTGTGAGACCTTTCATGCTTCATTCACTTTTGTAGGCGGTAAGCGTAACACGGACGTCGGAGGGAAACCAGGCGAAAAGATGGGCAGCAATCGACCTGCTCGCAAAACTCGACGCCGCGTTAGTGGCCCTGAAACGTCAACTGCAGCGACTGAACTCGCCACCTCCACTGCCGGCGTGGATGAAGCTGCGCGGAGCGGCGGATCTCATCCGGAGCCTGAGGAATCAGACGACAGGCCTCACCAACGACAACGACGAGAAAAAGTCAAACCGCGTCTCAAGACGGGCAGCAAGCCAGAATCAGCCGGTGACCAGCAGGCAGCGGACTCTGGCGGAAGGCAGTGGGGAACCACTCAGCGAGCACAGAACTTCCACAGTGAGGGTCGGTTTTCCAATGATCCCGGCGATGTCGGTGGTGCCGACGAGGGTGGTGGAGGCTACCCAGAACCCAGTCGGGGACGAGGCCGCTTCACCGCATCTCGCGGACGCCGAGGTGGTGGCGGTGGACGATCTCAGCATCCTCCTGAATTTCCATCTAGGTGTGTTTTTCAGCAGTCCCCGCTTGGACACTTTTGGATTCCATTTCTGGCCGCCAATTGCGTACTGATTTCTTGGGATTTCGAAAAAAAACTAGGTTGACTATGGGCAGAACAACGCCAAATTTCACGGAAAATTTCTTAATTGCCCGTTTAGAAGAACTAGTGTTACTGTAAGATGGCTTTATTTCACTACTCCTTTTTATTTCTCAAAAGTCGCCTAATTACTCAAATTCCCGTGGGACCAAAAAGTTCATTTCATCACCTCGCTCCAAAGTTATTAGAGAAATGAAATTTGAGCTTGCAAAAGCAAAGACAGGTGATTTCGCCAGCGTTAGAAGATACCGCACTAGCAGCACAGGTACTGGCTAGTGTGGTATCTTCTAACGCTAAAAGTATACTACTAGCTGCCTGTCGGCGGTTAAGGAATAATACTACGCAGTTATCCCGCTCCGACTGATGGACTTCGGCCCAAATATTCATGCACCAAATTTCGGTCTGCGCCTATAGACCTTGGTATAAACTGATCTACTCCAAGTTAGCAGTTAATTTCTGAGGAAATTAAAAAGCAACAAAGACAGTTAGGCTACACTTTCCACACAAAGGTCCCTTCACTACCCTCCTGCCGAGCATGCAGTAACGCAGCTTTGTCTGGAGATTTGGGCGGTGTCTCTGTTAGAGCTCTAGTTAACCGCCTGTATGTGAATCAGACCTCTTCTCCTTTTCCGAGTACTTTTAATCATGACCATGTTTTTATTAACGACTCGAGTTCTTCCATAATGCGGCCGACACTGGGGAGTTCATCCCCACAGAAAACCAGCGCTTTCCCCACTACAATAAGTCTGATGCGCCTGCGTATGTCTATCGCGATTTAAAATCTCCATAAGGAAATTAGTCGCTATCAGTGAACAGCGAAATTTGCTTTTGGAGCGTGAATCAATCTGGTCAGTACTGTCACGACTCTCTTCTCTTTGTTTTTCATGTGCACTTTTAGTTAGAACACATATTAGACCTTTGGGTCCCCGCATCAGATGACTGGTGGAGTCGAACGGCAACTTACTGCCTGGGGGATGAGGGCGTGAGGTCGACTCAGGGGACTCCATCCTCGTGCAAATTTTTACTTCAACCAATCTGACGCTCTTTTAGCCTATCAGGGTGCGCTAAAAGCAGTGACTTGGAAGGCTGCCAACTGACGGGATGACTTGGTCCTCTCAAGATGGAGAGGCAGGCTGCAATGGCTCCTTCCTTCTGTGGCTTCTATGTCTCTCCCACTCACTTGGGGTTCGCGACACGCACTAGGAGTCATAACTGTGGGGGGAGGCTGCCAACTGACGAGACAATTTGATCTACCTCTCGGGACTGAGAGTCAGGCTGCACTGATCCCCCGTGGCCTCCATGGCATTCTCACATGTTTGAGATCCAACTCACCCTTACGCAGGCCAAGTACAGATAGAGCGAGGTACTCGCTGATGAGCTGTTTAGCTCCGCGCCCACCTGCGGTCTGCTCCCACGCAAGTCACCGGTGCTGCGTCCATTGCGTGGTGCATACGGCAGACATAGTCGTTGCTTGCGACGATCTAACTGTCGGGTCCTCCCACATTGGTGAACTTCAGGTCCCACTCTTCTGTCTTGTACGCCACTTCAACTTGTCAAGCAAAATGACAACCATTGCCAGAGATTCTTAAAGTACCATAGCGACAATGTAGACGTGTCCCCCCCTTCAGGGAACTTCCATTTGTGCAACAGTGACTCCTTTTAAACTCATTCTTAAAATTATTTAACCCACATAGCCCAACGCGAATGCACATCGCTGGCTATTCCCCCGCAGACACGGAAGAACCCCTTGTCACTGTCGTGGTTTACCATTCATTTAGTTTGTCTCAGCAACGACGATGACTTCACGAAGCACAATAATGGGAAATTGACACGTCTTAGTAGATTCAGCAGACGGTCTAATACCACCTTGAAGGCTCGTCGTGCGGTGATGGTGCCCAACAGCTAAACATCTAAGCCTCTGAGGGAGGTTTAAAACCTCACTTGGTGGATCTCACTGATCTTTAAGATTCGCCTTTCGATCTCATGGGAGCTGCTAAGGCCCAGCTGTAGGCTACGATTTGCTCTACCTTGACCTTGTCAAATACAAGTTGGCCGAGGAATGGATGCGTAATCGCATCCCCATCGCTAATCAAAGCTGTTAAGCCCATACTACAAGTAGTTCCCGCATTTCCATTTGCAACCTAAACCCAAATTTTTATGGCGACGATGTAGTGTCTTCTTTAGGTCAGTGGTACAAAACTGGTAAAAATGGGTTCCCTCATATTTAAGACCATCCTTTGCCAATCGTGGCTGGTTGTTAGCTGCAGGCAGCGAGGGCGCGGTGATACTATTCGCCAGTTAGGACATTTTGCGCGTTATCAATCACACTGCCCCCCCCCTTTCACACCAACTGTGTTTTGATGGCGGCACAAGGTTAAGACGGCCAAAGATGGGTGTGTTCGCGGTGGCTGGCAGGACTGAGTCTGCTTCTGCGCGTGGCACACGCACACGGCCGGACTCCTTCGAACTCAGGTATTGCCTAAGTAATGTGTGTACTAAAGGCCACATTAAAAAGGAGCCATTGAAACCTGACCCTCGGTTCGGAGGAGGGGGAGCAGGCTATGTCCCATGTTTGCCAATTTTCCAAACTACAGCATTTAGCGCTTTAAATTGGCTATAACGAAGAAGCCGAGGGAGCCTAGCCGATCTCACTCCCCCATCCCCTTTATAGACCAAGGGCAAGCCCAAGTACACCCGACTAGATGTAACGAGATCGGATGCAGTGACTGGCGCCTGCCACTCGCAAATCTGGCCCATGTTTACTTGGGTTGTGTTTAGGGCTTAGGTGGAGAGTAAGAGTCCAGGGTCAGTGGTATGGTAAAGGCGTGTAGCATCCTAGGGTTAAAAGGTAGGTGTAGTATGTTTTGCTCAAATCCCCCAGTCCCAGTCTTATTGCAATAAAGTTTATTAAACGTCCTCGGTATGGCAAAAGCTGTTTTTCCGAGATTAACGGTTACACATAAACCTATTTGTTAACATCTAAGCTCAATTATACCATAATCTTCAGGGGAGTTTACTTCCCAATGGTAAGGCGTAGTTCTGGTGATATTTCCCTGCGATTTTAATCCTCCGCTCTTCTTTAATTTAAATCAAATTCCCAGACACTGTTTAAATCATCGGGTTATGAACAGACGAGTAGGTACTTTTTAGTTGTTTGAACCGGCCTTTGTAGCTCTCTGTTGGCCAACAGTCCTACTTTATCGATTCCTCTATTAGGCTGTGGTTTCTGTCCAAAAGGCCGTTGTTTCCTCTAACCCTGCTACTAGATAAATTTGTTTGTTTAGTCCACCTAAACAGTTGCCCTTTCTAGTGTACAAGCATTTGTTCACTTTGCTTCTCTTCCAGGCACGAGAAGGGAGCCCTGGAAGGCGACGACCAAGAGGCCCCTGCTAGGGACTCGCAGCCCCCTCCACCCAGAGGGGGGGGACCACCTGGCCGGGGTTACCGCGGCGGCCCACGATCCTTCACAGCGAGCCCGAGAGGTCGTGGTGGCGGTGGCCATCGGCCATAAAGCCTGCCCCCCTCGTTTTGACCGTCTTATCTCATTTTCATCAGCCTGCCCGTGCGTGCGAAAGACCTTCAAAGTGTGTGGTGTTCTTTGTTAATAAAGTCCTTTACTTCTCTGTGCTTTTGCCCCGCCAATGTACTGAACTCATAATCCTATGCTGTTAGCTTGCTCTAATTGTGGTAATTAGTGAAGGCACTATAGGTAGATGTTTCCTGTAGGATGACCCATTGCAAGTAACTCTGTTCTCACCTCTCACAAAGTTCGCGCAGAGCCGTAAGCAAAGACATAGGGGGAGGAGGGAAGCCACCGGCTCTAGCTCAGGACCTGGTGGTCGTTTGCACATACTCCCGCTTACGTCGATGCTCATGAATCCGCTTTCTGCGTTTACTCAGCACGCTTTTTCGTCAACGGCACGGCAAATTCTCTACTTTCTACAGCGCATTCTAGCTACAAGCAATCAAGAAAGCTGACCATTCTAGTGTTTAGCTATGTGAAATTTCACGAAACCTCTGTAAGAGGAGCTATCTCGCGGAGCAACACCTCAGGGAGCCACTGGGCGCGGCACGGACGCTGAACCCCCCTGTGCCTGTAAAAAGTATCCGTTAAGAACGACGACCCTGCTTGACCTATATCGGGGCTAACGTCAAGCAGCAACTGATTCCTCCAGGTGTACACTACTTTGAAGAAAACCGGTTAAACGAGTGGTTAGGCTTGTCTTTTGAATTTTACCGGGTAAGACGCGGGAGTGGGGACCACCCTCCGTGGTACGAGGAATTGCGCAAAATTACAGGAGGGACAAATAGTCCCGCATCCCAACTCAAGCCTTAGCCCTATCCTAACACCAACCCTGATCTTCCTAAGACCCGTAGACAGATCTGCCGTCCGTGAGGAAGTTCCTCCTCAGGTTAGATCGCAGGTGGTAGCCAGGACCCGTATTACAGGTGGCGGCGGGGGGGTGTTGTTTACTGGGGCTCCATAATCATATCTGACCCATTTGGCTTCCGTTTTACGTTTGAGGTTAGGATTACGGTACCGGTTAATGGTTTCCGATTTTCGGGTTAGGGTTATGCCTTCGGGCTTAGGTTTTCAGGCTACGGTTAGGGTTTGAGTTTATGATTAGGTTTCAGTATTACAGTCAGATTTTCCCGTTACGGCTACGTCTAAGGGCCACGGTTATGTGTATGATTTCGATTAGGGTTGCCGTTAGCGTTAACGCTTAAGGTTGTGGTTAGGGTTAGAGTTAAGGTTAGGATTAGGATTAAAGTCGCCGTCCGCTTCCCCATTCCTGGCTACCAACTGCGATCTAGCCGTTCTCTCACCTTATCGCGCTCAGCAGCTCCCTGAATTTCCTCGGCCTTGCGAGTCACTTAATCATTTCGAGCCTCCTCCGCCAGAGTAGGTTCCGGTGCAAGTCGAATTCAGCTTTGATGATATCTGTCCTGCATGGACTGCGCCTCATCGAGCTAATTCAGACAGTTAGAAAAAACTGTTAATTTTTGTCGATTTCACTAGAAATACATTCATTTTCCATGCCTGACCGAGTATAAAAGAGCTTTTAAACGTACCCATGCATCCTAAGCCAGCTCCTAAGAAAAGCGAAGCATAAGTGCTAATTGGGGCTCTAAGTGGTCAGGCAGAGAAATATGGATCCCCCCTTCGTATTACAATTGGCTTGGCGCTGAATCCCAGGGGTATTACTATTCTAGTTTCCTATTTTTGACCCTAACACTTACCCCAACCCTGACAATAACGCTAGCCCACGTAATTCTAACTCTAACCCTAAATATAACCTGGAATTTAGGGCGGGACCATTTTTGGAAGACTGACATACATGGCACCTAAACAGGACATGGGAATAGGAACCGCCTGCAATACGGGTGACAGCAAGGATTAAGTATATGCGCGGGGTAAAGAAAAACACTAGGGAGCTACCTACTATATTCTCCAAAGTAGGTGTTGTCGAATAGGGTTCTTATCGGGGTCTTCGTCGGCAGGGCGGCAGTCGCTGGCCTTTGCCGCCCAGAGGAGTCGCTGCTGCTGAAATGTCTACATTGACTCATTGTTCTAAACCTCCACACGTAATTCTTTAGTAAGAGGAAAAGGTAAGTGTTTCGGTCGGATTCCAGCCACGCCCGTCGTCGGCTCTAACCAAGGCAGAATAACGTTCGCTGACGCCTACCGCCCCAAGGACTCGATGGTGAAAAAATGTCCATATAGGCGTACTGTCCTGCACAACTCACAATTACTTCTTTAGTAGAAGTCAAAATAATGTGTTTTCAGACGGAATCCAGCCGGGCATTTCGGCTGCTCTAGCCCCGGCAGAATGACCTTCGTTGACCTACACCGCCCCGAGAACGCGGTGCCTCAAAAATGTCTATATAGCCTCTTTGCTCTGCACCCACAACACGTATTTCTTTAGTCAAACGCAACATAAAGTGTTTTCGATCGTTATTCAGTCAGGTACTTCAACGGCTGTAGCCGAGGGAGGATGAAATTCTTTGAGCCAAATCGTACCGATGGCATGGTGCTGAAACAATGTTTACATGGACTTATTGTTATGCGCTTCCCATACGTATTCCTTGTCGGCAGTTGCGGGACTGTAAGAGGCGCACTTTTCACCGTCCTGTCCGGGTACCCAACAGGAAACATTGCAACATTTGAGGAAGAAGAAGAAGAAGAAGAAGAAGAAGAAGAAGAAGAAGAAGAAGACGAAGAAGAAGAAGAAGAAGAAGAAGAAGAAGAAGAAGAAAGAAGAAAGAAGAAGAAGAAGAAGAAGAAGAAGAAGAAGAAGAAGAAGAAGAAGAAAGAAGAAGAAGAAGAAGAAGAAGAAGAAGAAGAAGAAGAAGAAGAAAAAAGAAAGAAGAAGAAGAAGAAGAAGAAGAAGAAGAAGAAGGGCTCTCCGGAACAGGACGGAAATTGCAAACTCGCCTAACAGAGCACAAATCGGCCACCCGGTGGTTAGACCCTAACTCTTAAATAGCAACACACGTTGGAGGAACGGGGCATACTTTTGATCTCCAGACAGCTACCATCTTATGCCGGAGCAACACAAAAGCAGAATGGCTAACTCTCGAGGCGTGGTTCTCCGATGTTAACTCTATCAAAAGACATCTGGACCTGCCTGCAGCTTACAAAGTTCCACGTCATCACAATGCTAGAGCTCAGGACCAAACAACCACACCGGACTTAAGAAGGCCGTACGGAGATAGCCTGACGGCGAGTTTACTCGGTGAGGAAGAACAAGAAGCGCCAGACCGACCGCCCGACAAGGGTTGAGTCAGCTTTCCCCGACGGAGTGGTGACTCACAAAGCACACAGGCAAAACGCCCGTCAACCATCTCCCGAGAGGCCGAGGCAGCGAGAGGAGAGAAAAATCGATCAGCATGAGGCCGAACAACACAATATGCCACTTGAAATTTCTGATCAATTAAGTGCGTTTTACGCTTTGACAATGGAGAGCCGATCAAGCTCTTTGAAACGGCAACATTTAAATAAACCTGTTTCGGAGAGCCCGTCTTCCTCTTCTTTAAATAATCAACCCCGACCTCTCAACTTTGCCAATCTGAACACTGCGACATGACCTCCTCCGTATCCTCTGCGATTTACAGGGTTGTTCCCCCACCCTCAGCGCATCACGTACAGAGCAGTCCGAATCAGTTTATGTAAAAATACTTGTTCACATGGTATGCAGTGCAGTTGACGTAATGTCGCTGTCCGCAGAAGTGTTTCCCATGCCTTGTCTGCGTTGTAGGGCCAAAATAGAGACGGTATTACACTTCATCCACGTGCACCCACACCGCTCAGCCGGACACGGGGTCTCCCTCACGTCAAAGCAATCCCTCACTCTTGCAGATCCTCAGAATTTGTCTTCTTATCAACTGGAGGTTTTCAAGCAATGAACCTGTGCATAGGGTCTTCCTCGAGCAACAACGGTTACATCTGAAGTGGAAACTGTCCGTGTGCGGCTTAAGGGTTTGTCGCCTCACGTTGCACGTTAGAATCATGGGCAGTGGTCCACCACTTTGGTAATATTACACCGGTTCATTGGAGTTTATATTTTGCATAACTTCATCTGCTCCGGTCGGTACATCACGAAGTGACTGGCTGACTTTCGGATAGGCCGGCACCGCTTGCCTACAAGACGCAACAAATTGTAGTTACTATAGGGCACTCCGATATTTCTTCCTTGCTTTAACAATAATATTTACCATCTATACATAGACAGATCGATACCTGTATTTCTTAATCACCATTACCAGTCCTTTATCTACACATCCTCACTTTGCTTCATATCAAACAAAATAAAATCCGTGTTTTACTAGTAAGTAGCAAACAACCTTGAAACTCGATTTTAAGAAAAAAAATCGGAGCAGAGAGCAGTAGGTAGCAAAAAATACTCGAAATATTGGCAGAAGGAATGCATACGTCTGCTAGTAAAACAGGAGTGTTAAAACGCTGGTGCATTTATTAAATAACAGTCTTGTATCTCCCATAATAATCTCGCATTAGCTTCCTTCCGTCTCAATCCAGGCCTTGTATTTGCCTAACTCCTCGTACGTTGATAAGCTTGTCGTTACTTTCAACGACCTGCTCGAATCGGCACCACCTGTCAGTTATAGCTCCTTATCCCTATTGGCTCCGAACTACCTTGGACTCTGACCCCATGTAAATTAGCCAGCGGCGGTTTACTCAGTTTTCTCAGTTTTTCTGGTTAATATTTTTATTTATTCTTGAATTGAGCGGCTGATTTTAGTTTGAAGCATTTTGTCCCCGGTACGAAGCTGAAGTAGGCAAGAAGGGCAGGATTTATTGGTACCAAAAAATTTCGCGACGGCTCTTCAGCTGCGTCCTGTCGCTTCATAAGAGAAATAACGAGTGAGAAGAATACATCAGATTTGAATTCGTGCAGAAAACCAATGCAGAAACAGCAAGGTCAGGGTTTTGGGCAAAGCAAGTACATTGGGCGAACGCAAAGGCAGTTGGCAGCCAGGTCTATTGAGCACCTGCCCAAGTGGCTCCTAAGACTAGAAAATAAGATCCCGCGTTCCTCCATTACGAAACACCTACTTGATACTGGTCACTCCGTCGACCCCAAAACTTCTTTCCGAGTACTTGTTCGGGCACGAACAACTCGGACATTGCGTTACCTGGAGGCGGCCTATATACGACGAGTGAAACCAGATCTTTGTAAACAATTGGAACACGTGGTTAACCTAACATTGCCATGGTAGCCTCTAGCTCCACGATTCCCCCTCTATCCTCTCATTTTTGCTCTTTAACGTTCCCCTTTTTTCAGTTTCTTCCCCTACGGTGTTTGTGTTACTAACTTTACCGATTAGCCAGCTTTGCCCAAAACCTTGACCTTGCTGTTTCTGCATTGATTTTCTGCACGAATTCAAATCTGATGTATTCTTCTCACTCGTTGTCTCTCCTATGAAGCGACAGGACGCAGCTGAAGAGCCGTCGCGAACTTTTTTGGTACCAATAAATCCTGCCCTTCTTGCCTGATTTCAGTTTATTATTTTAGCAAAGACAAAGCTTCACGGCGGTTTTTTGATATTTTTTCCAATTTCACCCCCCCCCCTCTGCCCTTTGTGAGGCCCCACCCGTATAACCCCTATTACCATCATCCCCGTAGGACACGGTCCACTGGTAACCATTTTCTTACCCCGCGCATATACTCAATCATTGCCCGGGTGGCTTCGAGCCAAATCCCAGTGAAATCAGGGTTAGGTTTAAGGTTAGGGTTAGGTTAAGGATTCGGTCTAAGGCTGGATTTAAAGTTAACGGTAGAGTTAATCAGGACCAACTTTCAGTTTAAGGTAAGGGCTAGTGTTAACTGCAGAGCTAGGGTTTAGGGTAGGGCTAGGGCCGAGGTTAGGGCGACGGTTTAGTCTTATGTTGAGGTTATTTTTGGGGTTAGGGCGCAGGAATATTTGCCCTTTCCATAATTATGCTCAGATCCACCTTTATCACTTGGGCAGGGCGTTCCCATTCCCACATCCTGTTTATGGGGCCACATAAGTCAATTCTACCCTACTTTTAGTACGGGGGCCCATATTTCCATGCCTAGCCCTCTAGGTCTCTTGGCTTAAGCGGGTTTATTTCTGGGAATTGCAGGCCTTTCTATTTAAGTGACCTCTAATTTTATATGATTCAACCATCATTCCTCCCCGAAGCACTAAACCCCCGCATTAGGGTCCAATTCTTGTTAGATCTGCGACAGTCTCTGTTTACTTATCTTAATGCCGCTAGCATAAAGTAGACCATGGGTGGAACATGCACACAGCTGAGTTTTAACGACACAAAAGCCTGCACTTGAAGTGACAGAATACGTACTTTGATTGCTTTTTGGAATTAAACACCCCTGGGTAGTCCCGTGGTCAATCACAGCACTCGAGGCTCTTGAGGATAATACTCTCGTGGAACCTCTGGAATTACTGGGATGACCATGGGTCCAACGCATCGACGCCAATTGTCCCACCTGTACTGCCTTCGCCTTGAACTGGGTGTGGCATACGGAGTTTGAGATGTTTTCACACGTAAGCGGGATGACCCCATGTGACCTGCGCGTGATCTAGGCCGCGACTCGTGAGCTAACGCGTGAAGACGCGCGGTCGGTGGCCACGCTCACGGAGTAATCAGCACCTGCAGATATTTTCACCTCCGCAAGTCCACAGCATTGCTTTATCACCTAACCGATCTTAATTGTTGAGTCCAATTTGGCCTTACCGCCTGCGAACCGAGCTCGTGAAATCTTTCCCTAGACGGCTGGAAAGTTGGTCAAATTGCGACTTTCCGAAATTAATAGCAGACACTAATGTTAGAGTTAGTCGCATAAGCCGATAAATGATCATTTGCAGTCGGTTTCTCGGCATCCGCATTCTACCACTGACGGCGAGGAGGAACATGTCGTCCGCCGGCCGGGGAGTCACAGTCTTCAGAAATCTGGATTGCCCTGATGTCTTTACAGTTTCCTCAAAGATCCTAGCCCCTGTACGCTAACTGTACGTTGGTAAAACCCGCCAGTAAAAACCCACGATTTTAACTAGAGTCTGATTGGTCGTGGAGGGAGGCACTGTCAACTCAGCCACTTACTGCTGCCCTGTCATCTGCTAACGAGAGGACCCCAAGTTCCCTGGAAATGAAGTTTGCCCAGCTGGGCTCAGTGCATGGTGCGGTATGAGCTTCCCGTTCGCTTTGAAACTACGATTCCCAGGCCCTCCCGGGAGTTCCCAGTTTTTTTTCTCCTAGCTGACGTTACATTTTACGAAGTTTCCTGAGAAGTCTCACTGAAATGGACAAATGAGTCGTCGCAGTGCCAAACCAGCATGGAAACTACAAAAGAACTTTCAGCCCAATTGAGTGCGCATGGAATAAGACTTCCTTGGTTATATTGAAGCCCTAGAAGACATGCTCAGCAGTGGGTCAGTCGTAAAGAACGTACAACAGGGGCATTTACAGATGGGTGTTTTATCAAAACTTCCGGAATTTCTGAATTCGATTTTCGGCTACATTGAAACTTCAGTCATTTCTTAAATGTTGCTTCCATTGAAGCTGGTTATTTATGATGTCGGAAAGGGTTTTGAGAGGACTTTCACGTGTGTAGCGGAGGCTTGCTGAGATCCAGTGGGCGTTATCTGGAAGAGCGACATTTTAGAAATATCCAGCAATCTTCAACCTATGAAATCTGGACGCCACTGAAGAGTACTGTATTACTGGGTATTACTGTACTAAACAATTAAAAAATGTAGTGAAACTACGGGATTCCGAGTTTTTAGGAGTGCTTATAAACCAAACGAGAGAGTGTTGAGTGTTTGGGTTGGGAATTGTGCTGCGCATAGGTTGGAGAGGGTTAGGGTGACGTTTATGTGGGTTGGTGTTAGGGTTAATGATAGAGCTAGGACGGTTAGGGTTAAAGTTGAATATAAC